AATACAAGTGGTCTACATCCGTGTAAAAAACCATTTATGCAGGCGGCATAGCAGATGAATATCCTTGTAAACCTCCTCTCATATTGTTCAACATGAATATAGCTACCTGGGTTTGTCTTCTTGACCTCTTCTACATACCTAAAAAATTGAAGATTAAGCTTTAGTACCAACATTACAAAATTAGTATAAACAGCGTCACATAAATAAAAATAGTTTGTCTATTGTAGATATCATCTTCTATTTACCATCGTAATTGATTATAGGACTCATGGGCATTATCATATAATTGCTCTTGTGCTCTTTCTTTACCCCACCAAATCTTACTATAATCGACCCTAATCCCATACGAACTTAGAAACTTCTTTTGAATGTCAATAGGTCGTATATCCGATCGTACCTTTAACGTGGGTTGTAATTGGGTAGCAATAAATTACCGAGAGGCTCTAAATTGACATGTATTATTGTCATGCTGCCCACAATTGTGATTGTCCATGAAACTTTTGATTTCAAGTCTATTATAATTTTTTGGTGGAGAGGCAAATAACATCCACGGGTAATTTTTGGCTTCCTTAAACCGACAAAAAACTCGAATACACTTCGGTTCATTCTTCCTAAACTCGTATTTGAATTTTTTTGCCATGGAGTAGTATAGCAATGCCAATCTTAACTCATTCGTACTTTCAAATCGTTGACTCTCACCGGTTAAAGTTGTGTGCCACCAAACAGAAATCCTCTCTGATCTGCTAAGCATGTCATCAATCTTCAAAACATTATCTCCGGAAGGATTGTCATTGGGATTCTTATCTGGAACACTTGTGGACGGTAACACCGGCGGGCCACAGTCTATACTTTGTGAGTTCAAACTGCTGGAAACACTACAAATATTAAGAACATAAAAATAATAATCATAAACTACACAAATAGTAGTAACATCAACAAATAATACCAAAAGCTAAAAAACAAAAACGACAATTGCTTGCAGTTAGAATCAATTAGGACTAGCAAGAATTTACAAGAAAACGATTAGAGTTAACAGTGCATTGATTAGAACTAACATACTCGACCACAAATTGAACTTGAGCTAAAATTAACAATAAATTGTATAAAACTAACATAATAGCTATTAGAACTAACAGTATAACCATTAGGACTAACAAGATATATATTAGAACTAACAAACTTTGCAGCGCTTCCAGCATATAGAACTAGAGATAGAACTAGCAATAAATCTAGTAGAACTAACAATATAGCGATTAGAACTAACAAAGAAACCATTAAAACTAACATATGGAGCCTAACAAAGAACTGCTTAACGATAAATCGATTAGAACTAACAGGACCAAGATTACAACTAACATACGATCGAATTAGAACTGAAGCCCAGTTAAACCTAGCATAGAACTAACAAGAAGACGATTAGAACTAAAATTAATTGATTTTACAGTTAACCTACATGTTTTGTCGGACTTGCTCGTTTTCTTGTTTATTCGAAGAATCATCTGTTGATTTTACAGTTAACCTACATGTTTTGTCGGACTTGCTCGTTTTCTTGTTTATTCGAAGAATCATCTGCTTCTTTAAAAGCTTGCATGTGAACCCTCGTTTTCTTGTTTATTCGAAGAATCATCTGCTTCTTTAAAAGCTTGCATGTGAACCTCTTTCAGTCCGAGATTGTGGAAATGTTCCACCATAGATGTTAGAACCCCCTCGTTCTCAATGGAAAATTTTAAGCTTCCAACTGTTTCATCTTCATATGCCAAAATTAATGACTCATATGGAAGAACTAACCTCTCTGCCACATCAAACTTGAGATCCAAGATGGTGGTTAAAGAGTTAATCTTCAAGAATACAGCTTTATACCCCGAAGAGACAATGCAGATGATGTCCTTCTCAGGCATTTTGAAGCGAATGTAAGAGTAATGGAGAGAATTTTTATCTGAGGAGGAGTGATGGATAACTAAATAGTTATTGATCATGATGGAGTAAAAAAAGGGGGGGGGGGGTTGGGGGGGGGGGGATTTCCCTCCATTTTTTCCATCATATCGCATTAATGAGAAGTGACTACTATTTCGGGACGAGGCCTCATCTGGGGAAGAAAGAGAAGGGCAATATCGATTTTTTTATAAAATACATTCTGCTTTTAGTATAATGCTGACGTGGAGGGGGCTTGAAACATTAAACGTCACTTTTTGGGGCTATTCCACATGGGGCAAAATACAAGGGGGCTCGTCACACGAAGTTCCCACTTTTGGGGCCTGGACACATTTTTCCCTAAAAAGAAAGAGAAACCAAAATTAGGGATTATTTTGGCATTTAAAATACAAAAAGTGGTTAAGAACACATTTGTTTTTTTAAAAGTTGTTTTTATCTAGAATACAAGACTTTAAACACGCTACTTAGAGAACTATTGTGAATTTATTAAAGTAAAATAACTACCATGAAGTTTTGCGTTTCACAAGAGACCTTAACAAGACTTCAGAAACAATTATTTTACTCCTCCACGGCTATTTCGTACGTAGTAGGAGATTTGTAGGGATTTTTGACATAAGATACAGGTGAAGGTTACACTAATATCTTCTAACTAGCAGCATTAACAAATGATAGTTTTCTGATTAAAAAAAAACAATCATGAATCCATGATCGATATAGTTTTATCCTTTTGCATAGCATTACACCATATCATTTATTCCCAATCATACAAGCTTGCTTACAGTCTAAAGTTAGCTGAACATAAAATCATGCTTTCATGAACCATTCCATTTTCACAACCAAGTCCTAATGTTTTATGTAATGATGCCAACAAGTAATCAGATGCTCGATGGTTACCCCCCAACCAATAAACATAGTGGAATTAGATAGGAGCAAACTGTCGAGTCCTTTTCCTTTCAGAAGTCTAATTTGACCGGTGAAGACGTAAAGGTCCTTATTCCTCAATAATTTGAGTACTGTCACTGTTGGTTCAGGCATCAATTACATGCACTTTATTCCACTATCAATCATTCCCTGCGTCTGCTTCGCTTGTTTATTTTTGTGTGTTGTCTTTTCTCAGTTGCACCGAAACAAGAAAGGCTTTACTACTGTGAGAAGGAAGAATCACTCGAAAGAAATTGAAGTTTGGTTCACTGGTTAAGGTATATGGTGTTATAGAGGTATCAGACTGAGTGTCTTTTATTTTAGGGTTAATTGTGGGTAGACCCCTTGTAGTTCTAATGCTGCAGAGAGAACCCCTGAGTCAAAAATTTTGTCTCTGTTGCTCTTAGCGGGTTTTTGGTTTAATAGTGGGCAAGAATATGATTAGGAATCCCATATTTTTTATGGATTCCTAGCTAATTCATAAAGTCCCATATTTTTTTATGGATTCCTAGCTAATTCATAAAAAAATTTAAGACAATTTTATGTTGTCATGGAATCTTTTTTTTTCATTTCTATGTTTGTTTCATAACATGAAAAAATAGAATCCAACTTTATAGAAACCCTCTGATTCTTATTCTTTAGTTTTGTTTGGAATGAGAATAGAATTTGGTCTCATAATAATATAGGGTTTGTGAAGAAAATGAATAAAAAAAGAGGGAGAATACTACAAATGCGTCAGCTTTCTGCCACAAATCCGCCCAAATCATTAGGATTTGAGTTTCTAGAAAATCAGCATACTTTTTTAACTTTATAGATTCTGAATCTATAAATTCTTGGGGAACCAAACTTAAGAATATGATTCATAAAGTATATCCTATTCTTTTTCTATAAAAATGGTGAAACAAACAGCCCCTTAGGAGATCTGTTTTGTCAAAAAAATCTCTTTCTCTGATATGACTATCTGAAACAATGGAACTACAGGGGCCTATCTGCAATTAACCCTTTATTTAAACGATGTAATCAAAGATGTAACTGTGGAGTGTAAACTAGTGTAAGATTGATGGGCAAGCTTTAATGACCTTGGTGTTTGGTTACAAGAGTGATAAGCAAGCTTTAATGGCCTTGGGTATTGTCTTTGCACTGGAAGAAGAAAGCTTAGTTCTATGATAAGGAAATTTTGCTAAAAAGATACTGAAGTTTGGTTCAACTGTAAAAGTATGAAGTTGGTCTTGGGTTATACTAAAGGTACCAAAGTGAAGGTGGAACAACTTTTATTTTAAATGATTTTGCTCAAGCAGGTATATTGTGAAGTGTGAACTAGAGTTTAGGGCAGACTTAATTTCATGACCTCGTCCGGACATAGTTAGTGGTCTGATCAGTGTATATACAGATCGAGGAAAATTAACATTCATAATTAAAAAATTAGTTTCAGATAGAACAATTTTTCAAAACAGACCCATTTAGTTTTTTATTTTTCAAAATCAACCGATTTTTCTTTTATTTACCAAAACCGACCCGATTTTGTGATTAGCAGGCTAATTACTATCCTAAATAGTCGGGGTTGCCAACCCCGACTATTTAGAATAGTGTTAAACCCTAATTAAAGGCCTTAAACCCTAAAAATTAATGTCCTAAATAGTCGGGGTTGGCAACCCCGACTATTTAGGATAGTAATTAGACTGTTAATCACAAAATCGGGTCGGTTTTGATAAATAAAAGAAAAAACAGTCGATTTTGAAAAATAAAAATCTAAATGAGGCTGTTTTGAAAAATTGTTCTTTCAGATATCATGTTAAATAATCAAATTTATTCTTATGAGCACGCTAAGTCTAGATGAATAAAATGACGAATCATTTTCTCTCTCGTGTATAATAATTCCATAATGGACATCTGATAGGACAACATGTTGGAACTTGGAACAAAAAGAAAGGAAATTTGTGGACAATATATAAATAATAATAAGCCTAAGTCACATGCATGCTTTTCGCATTGGATGTAGATTGCACAGAGTGATTAGGCGTGGACCCCTTACTAAATAAGATATTTTGATAATCTCATCGAGACCACACAAAGGTTCAAATAATTTTGGATAAGGCTTGAGTTTTTCAAGCTCATTAGACGCCCACTATCAGAGCTTGACAACAAAATAGCCAACATTTTGAAATTTGATTGCATCATAAGCTTCAAACAAAAGGAAAAACATCGAAAGAATACAAACCCAACTTTTGCTTTTAGCAAAAACACCACCAACAACATCCTTTTTATCCCCATAACAATTTACATCTTGCCTAACCCCCCAACTTAAATTTGCATCCGCAACCCCAGATCTATTTTTTTTTTCCTACTCCATTCTCCACCCAATTTGTTTCCCTCTCAGGTCCAAGTGAAAGCGATTGGGCTCGCAACCACGTGCTTCCCATCATCCCACTCGAGCCTCCCGAACCCGCTCGAACCCGACGGCATCGACGGCGACGTAAAGCTGACCGTGTAACTCTTCTTCTCCCCCTCCTTCGAGAAACTCAGCTCCGTTGGATTTACGACAATCTTCACCTTATCTCCGTCCGCTGACGTGGACACCTTCGCCTTGTAGGTCCCAGCGGGGCCCACGTTCGTCAGAGTCCGAGTGTGGGTGATCGTGCTGGTGGTCCCGTCTCCTCCCATCCCGCTCGCCGTGGCGAACGGGACGGAGAAAGACGGGTAGTTGAGATCCGAAACCGAGTGGGCCCCTCTCGAGCTGCAAGTGAAATTGCTGCCTTTAGCCATGGCGCCGATTTGAACGGAGGTGTAGTTCAACGCGCAGAGGAAATCGAGGTAGTCGGTGGCGGTGAGATCGTAGACGAGGCCTGGGTCGAGGGCCTTCGGGGGGTCAACGTGCCCCGCTCCGTAATCGAACGGAGTTGCGGGCTTGCACCGTGTCTGCAGATTCGAGAGGCTCCGCTGGCGCCGGCGTAGGTGGCGTATGACGCGTGTGTGGATAGAGGCGACGGACCTTGATCGCCGCAGGGCGACGGCAAGTGCGGGAGTGCCAGAACCTTTCAGCAGCGCGGCGAGGCCGCTCAAGTGCGGGCAACGGGACATCGGGAGGTCGGCCCGAGTTATTGTGTGAGAAGTCTCCACGCGGCCGCGTAGGTTCGCCCGAGAGGCCGGTCGGGGGCCCACTGCGCCGGTCCAGCCGGCCAGGAGAGTTGTTGAGGCGGCCGGGGCGAGTGATGTCGGGTTTGTAAAATGCTCGGCGGTGACGGCCGTGGGCCGCCCCGGGAGAAGAACGCGGCCACTAACGGGCGACGGGTAGGATGTTGACGCTTCGTCGCCGCCCGACTACGATAGGGTGGGGTCGATGTGGCGCATCGAGATAGGTAGGTACTTGGTCTTATATCTCGTCGGCCCGCAGTTTCACAACGACGCCGGATGCTGGCAAAAGAATGAGCGCGTCGGCGACTAGCTGCTTCGCCGTTGGCTCGGCGGTGTTCGCGAAGAGACCTCCACATGCCCCGAAACCCTCCAGGCCTCTATTGACGACCAGGGCCCCCTTCTGCACACACGCGCTGACGCCGGCCGATCAACCAGAACAGCGATCTTTACCCTTGACTTCATCCCGTATAAGGTACCGCGGACATGCACCAGACTTGCCGTTCCGTCCGCGTTCGTCGCGTTAGCCGGCCGTAAAGTGAAGGGCAGTTGAGAATCGGCGGCAGCGGCTTTCGCGCTGTAGCAGGCGAAACCCCGGCTGGTAGCTCTTGGCGTATTGCCCCAAGCAGTAAGACATAGACCGGGAAATCTCGTCGAGCGTCCCCGGACGCCGACCGTGAGTAAATCCAAGGCGCAACATTCGACACCCAGCAGACGCCCTCACCGGGAACCGGCGTTTGCCAGCGAGCAAGAAACACAGCAACTCGGCTTCTCCAATACCCAGTAAACGCCCAGATAGCCACGCTGTCTAATGTAATAATGCCGACGTCCCGCCGCCCGAGCAGAGAGCGAGAAGACATCGACACCGTCGCTCAACCGGCCCGCCTCCATGCGCCGCCAAAATATCCGAAGCTGAACAGGCTCCGCGCCAGCAAACGCTTGTACACGGCCAACCTCGTCGCTGCGCGCTCGCCACCCTTCGAAGCCGTGGCCCGTTGGCGTCAGCCGAGGAGGTCTGCGCGCGGCGAGCGGAAGGAGCCTTCTCCGGCGGTGCTGGAGGTGTGGGGTCCGCCCCATAGCCCGTCGCCATCCAACGGTGATTCGACTCCGCGCGTGACTCGCGACGGGCCCATCGGCGCGCCTCGGTAGCCTTTGGAAAGTACCGTGGGCGCGCATTCAGCTTTCGGCTGCAGCGCGACGGACGGCTTGAAGCCTTTGCCCTCCACTGGCAGTGCTCGCGCCTTCCATCGAAGCGGGCAACGGGGCCCCGAAACCGCGGTATCGTCGAACGACGCCCGCCCGGCCAGACCCCGCAGTGTCTACACAGCCGATCGATGACGTCAGCCGGCGGCTGGATGACTGGGGGTTTTAGCCGCGCGCGTTCCGGTCGAGGCCGAGGAACTCGGGCGACCTCGTGGTGTGGAGCTCGTACTTGGTCTCGGGGAGAACCGAGAGAACGCCGTCGAGGGCTTCGAGGGCTCGGGCCTCCGAGTCCGTCAATTGGGCCGCGAATCCATGGGCCACAGTGTTGTATGAGTACAGTATTTGGGCCGACTCGGATACGGATTGGAGGGAGGAAGCGTACCACTCCCCGTGCTCGGCGAAGGACGCCGGCATCGCCGATTTCGCCATGTGGATTATATAAGTGCCTCTCTTATTAGCCGCCACGTGGCAGGAGGAGAATAGGGCGGTGAT